TGAGGTCAGGGAGTGATGGTGGGTGAGGAGACCCGGGCTCACAGTACACGGGGGACAGTCATGGGGGGGGACAGAAAAGGGTCTTCACCAAACTGTGACCACAAGGCTGGAAGATCCCAATTGTCTCCAATGTCTTTGTATGATGGAGGAGGAACAGAACCTTCGCTGGAGACCCCTGACCTCCGTCACTGGAGACCCCTGACCTCCGTCACTGGAGACCCCTGACCTCCGTCACTGGAGACCCCTGACCTCCGTCACTGGAGACCCCTGACCCCCGTCACTGGAGACCCCTGACCTCCATGATTGGAGACCCCTGACCTCCATGATTGGAGACCCCTGACCTCCATGATTGGAGACCCCTGACCTCCATCACTGGAGACCCCTGACCTCCGTCACTGGAGACCCCTGACCTCCGTCACTGGAGACCCCTGACCTCCATCACTGGAGACCCCTGACCTCCATGATTGGGGGGGAGGGAGGTCCTCCACATGCTTTTGGTCATATAGTGTAATAGTCATGTTGGGGTCACCTCACAGTTGGAGATGGAAGCTGATCACCTGACCTTTCTGAGCTTCTTGGACATACTAATCCAAAGCCACCTTCACAGCCATCACATCCCCCGCTCCTCTGGGGAGGCTTGCACAAGATTTTGGGGGGTGTCAGGGGGGAATTTGTCCCATGTGTGAGGTCCGGTACTGATGTTGGGTGAGGGGACCCGGGCTCACAGTCAGTGATCAGTAGGGTGAGGTCAGGGAGTGATGGTGGAGAAGACCTGGGCTCACAGTCAGTGATCAGTAGGGATGAGGTCAGGGCTCTGACACAGGGTGGGATCTGAATGAATGAGTCACATGGAAGAATTTTGGGGGTAAATTGCCCCAATTTTATGGATAATAAAGCAAATGACAAAAAGGAGGCGGAAGGGGCGGTCCTTCCACTCCTAAGTGCAGCGTCCCATGTATAAATAATCTATGTCGGCAGTAAGGCACGTGTAGCATGTCGGTGCACGTGTAGCATGTCGGTGCACGTGTAGCATGTCGGTGCACGTGTAGCATGTCGGTGCATGTGTAGCATGTCCGCATTGTAGCTAGGAAAGGCTCATTGGTGAATGTTACCATGATGGGTGGCCGGTGACCCCGGCTCTTAGGTAGCGCTCTGTGACCTTTGGCCCCAGATATCCTTTGGCATCCAATCAGAGGAAGGTGTCCTCTTCTCCCCTCATCTCCTCCATGAGAAGCGTGTGCTTGTCGGGCTCATCCAGCAGAATGTTCTGTTGGGTCGGTTTATCGGTCAGCAGGGAGTTCAGAGACGCTCGGCTGTAGTTCACAAAGCGGTCAAACAGGTTGAGTTTCGGGGAGCTCCTCCGGTTCTCCGAGATCCCAACGTGGACACTGATGTCGGAGAGGGATCTGGGGATCAGGTGACCTTCCGCCTGCAGCTCCAACTTCTCCCGACTCGGCTTACGGTATCTGTGAGAGAACATTCACATACGTGTCACCGGAGAGAACATTCACATACGTGCCACGTAATGCTCCCGGCTATGGACTGTGCTGGGCAATTCCTACAATCCGCCCCCCATGATGGAGCCCGACACCCCCCGGCCCCCCAAACCTCCACCAGTCCTGAACCC